ATATTTTAACAAAATTTAAAAGCTGTTTGGTGGAGAAAGCTGGTGTGGGCAGATATTGAGTTGCTAGACAACCTATTATTTTCTATTATAATAAACCAAAGGACTCTATATATACCAGTAGATGCATTGTATGCACAGTTTCCACTTTTTGCCTTTGTTAACGAGTAATCCGCAAAATCAAAATGTCATTGAATTTAAATTGTCTGTCCATGTTTTTAAATTGGCATTACACATTCTGAAAGTATTTATTTTTTTTACCTTATTAACATAAATATTTAAAATTGCAATTGATAGCCAGTTAAAAGGTCCTTAACATTTGCGTAATTGCTCAATTTGATAATGTAAAAGGCCAAAGATATAATTGGTAGTTAGTATGATTCCTTTGTTTTATTTCGTAACAATTTATTTATCTTGCGTGGATCTATCAAATACAACTTGCACTGCTGTACTTATATTTGTATGTATGTTTTGGGAGCCAGGGTGGCCATGTGGGTAAAGTCCTACTACATACAATCCCTGTGGTCAATCCCTGGAATTTGTCAGGGTTGTATTCCCTTCATTTGGAAGCGTGGTGGGTTGGGTGGCCAAATGGTTAGCGCGTGAGCGTTGTATAAGGTCTGTCATTGAGTCAACTGGCGTGGTTTCGATTCCCCAGTTGTACATGACAAGGAGTAGGGTCGCCTGTCCAACCTTGTGGGTTTTCTCCAAGTCCTCCGGTTTCCTCCCACTGCTAAAGACCCCTACGCACAAGTGAATTATTGAAATAAAATTTAACAATATGTTAGTCCTGAAATGACCTAGTTTGTGTCGAGTGGACGTTAAACCCTTTCTCTCATTTGGAAGCGTAGATGCCTCGTTCAGAAACTTTACTACAGGATGAGGATTGCCTTCATGATATCAGTGCTTGAACCAGATGCAAATGATTGTCAATTGAAATTTAAGAGAGAAATGGGGTTAAACATCCACTCGACACAAACTAAGTCATTTCGGGACTAACACATGTTTCAGTTTTATTTCAATAATTCGCTTGAACGTAGGGGTCTTTAGCAGTGGGAGGAAACTGGAGGACCCAGAGAAAACTCACGAGGTTGGACAGGCGACCCTACTCCTTGTCGCGTACAACAGGGAATTGAAACCACGCCAGTTGACTCAATGACACAGCGTGCATGTGCTAACCATTAGCCATCCATCCCCGTCTAATTGAAATGGGTAGAATTACGACTAACAGTGAATTCATGTAAACAGAAGAAATAGATTTGGTTAATTTACTAAAATCAGTATATATTACATAAATAAATGAAATATCTCCTTTAATATTATCATGCTAGAGGGTAATTTGCATATTTTTTCAGGCCCCACATGTCTGTTTATGTGTAAGGTTCTGATAGAAGTAAGATACCTCTATACATTGTATATCAACAATCTAAACACAGTCAATAGAGGACAGATCTTATCAAATTATTACAAAATTTGAAAAGAATCAAGGTTCCAATTGACATATTATTTTTAAAAAAGATAGAAAAATGATACATAATACCTTTATATACTGTTTAAGATAAAGTTTCCAAGGTCCTTCACCTGTGTAATATTTCGAAGTATTTTTCCCCCCGAAATGATTTGGTAATGATCTCATTCATGTACACTACATGTTCGTTTGTTCCCCCTCAAAAGCCAAACGACAGATATAAATGGCGTACAGAATATGATATACAGGCTATTGTCATGTGACCGCATGTGACCAAACATTAAGGGACAAGACAGTATAATATATCACTTTGATATCCCCTGGTCACATGACCTATATGTACTTAGGATATATACATACTGACCACATGAGAAAAATAGCGTTTTAAATTGCATAATAAAATTCAATAAACTACTTCTAAAATTGCTAAATATTTTCCCCATTGATAAAAAATCGGCCTTTCCAAATATTAACCTTGAAACTATAATCTTTTGGGTAAATATTCAGAGTTTTTTGATACAGATGTTTGGCTTCAAATAAGAATTTAGTAAAGGAATGAAATTTGTCTGTATGTACATGGTGATTCACTAAAGAATAGGCTGAGTTCAGTAAAGGAAATGAAATGAAATGAAATGAAATTGGGTTTAACGTCCTACTGTTCTGCTCCTATACTGGGCTAATGAAGACGGGCATACGCCATACAGTGTGCTATTAGGGAAATTTTGCCCGGGCAGCGGCACTATCGCCTACTCTAATATCGAATTCCAACTGCCAAGGGATCTTTTACGTGCATTCCAATGTTTACACGGGACCTCGGTTTTTCGTCTCATTCGAAGAACTAGACAGCTGTCCTTGTCAGGCCCTCCGTCCTGCATCACTGCCAAGGGGAAAACACGTCGGAGTTCAGTAAAGGATATAGAATAATAGATAACATACTGTTTGATTTATTCTGGGGGAGTTGGATGGCCGAATGGTTAGTGCATGCACGCTGTATCATAAAGTCTGTCATTGATTCCCTGGTTGTATGTGACAAGGATTAGGGTTGCCTGTCCAACCTCGTGGGTTTTCTCTGGGTCGTCTGGTTTCCTCCCACTGCTAAAGACCCCATCGCGCAAGTGAATTATTGAAATAAAATTGAACAATATTTTAGTCCTGAAATGACCTAGTTTGTGTCGAGTGGACGTTAAACCCCATTTCTCTCTCTCTCACTCTTTTTTGATTTGTTCTGTAAAATTTATATGGGAAAAGATATTGCTTAAACTTCAGTTCACTAATTAATCTCTTAAATTGTCTCAATTAGCTCATTAAAGAATCTTTGATCTTGATAAAATCAGATCGTTTGTTTATATACGCCCACTTTTATGTGGTTGTTTTGGGGGGTTGGAGTGTTGGATGGCGTGGTTTTGATTCCCCTGTTGTACTTGACAAGGAGTAGGGTCGCCTGTCCAACCTTGTGGATTTTCTACGGGTCCTCCGGTTTCCTCCCATCACTAAAGACCGGTGTGGTTTCGATTCCCCAGTGACAAGGAGTAGAGTTGTCTTCCAACCTCGTGGGTTTTCTCTTGGTCCTCCAGTTTCCTCCCACTGCGAAAGACCCCTACGTGCAACTTGCACGGTGCAAGCGAATTATTGAAATAAAATTGGACCATATGTTAGTCCGGGAATGACCTAGTTTGTGTCCAGTGGATGTTAAACCCCATTTTTCTCTCTCTCTCTCTCTCTCTCTCTCTCTTCAAATTGTTAAACAGAATCAATAATAAACATCAAAGAACTAGCTTTTGTCCAGCACAAACAACATGACCAGGTAGGTGGTCAACAATTTGTTTGTTCATTGTTCCCCTTGAATTGACTCCTTAACAAGATTGGGTATATTGTGGGATTAATGTTGTGTGCGTTTTACTAGCTGGATATATAACAAATAGGATGTCACTTTACAATAAACACATTTTACACATCACTTATTTTACTCACAGATTCAAGTCACAGCTATTTTAATTCATTAGATTGTCTTAAGTTAACGGTGCATTTCATGAAGAATATACCATTAAAACAGATTTATAATTCATTAGATTGTCTTATGTTAACTGTGCATTTCATGAAGATTAACATTCAGTTATTAATGAACTGTCAAAGATTTTAATTAAGGAGCATACATACTGTACTGTACTGTACTTAAGACAGTATATGTTATGCCATGCACTGGATTGTATTAATAGTTTTCACACAGATTGTGTGACGTTACTATTCCCAGGCTGCATTATTGACTTCAGTATTAGTATGTAAATACTGATACTTCGCTAAAAATCTGAGGGTACTCAAGCGTTGTCTACACAGATCATAGTGATTTTTATCTTGACTCTAGTGAAATGTGCACATTCTTATACCCATGTTTGATAGTTACTATATTATGCGATATGAAACGAATCGGTAACAGAATGTTAGTTACATGAAATAAAAAATTCATATCTTGGTTAATAATATTATTTATCCAACCTCGTGGGTTTTCATTGGGTTCTCTGGTTTCCTCCCACTGCTAAAGACCCTGACGCGCAAGCGAATTATTGAAATGAAATTGAATTATATGTTAGTCTCAAAATAACCTAGTTTATGTCTAGAGATAAACTCTCTCCCTCTCCCCCCCTCTCTCTCTCTCTCTCTCTCTCTCTCTCTCTCAATATTATGTAAATAAACTTAATTACAAGTTTTAAAATTACCTACACCTATTTTAAAATTATTCATTAGGTGCATCATATTACATTGAGAGTTCATTAACCTACATAATTGATGCTTACCTGCTTGACTGACTTATATGATTGCTTTATTATGCACAAGTATAGAATACTGGCATACTCTGACAACAAAAAAAAGAGCTGTGGACCGCTATGCCCTTTTGCCGTCTATTCGCTATATTCAGTAGATAAACCATTGTACATTAGATGAAAGATATTACTGTATGTATAGTAATAAACCATTGTACATTAGATGAAAGATATTACTGTATTTATAGTAATAAACCATTGTACATTAGATCAAAAATATTACTGTATTTAAAGTAATAAATGTCCAGAGTGTTGATTTACGGGGTAACAGTATGACTACCTTGACTTCATAGCCCTTCAACTGTTGCATTGAAGATACTTTATTGGAGACTAGATAACGAGCTAGCAGTTCTCACGATTTGCTAAAAAAATTTAGTAAAATTGATCCACTCTGAATCAAGAATTTAGCGATTGAATTTGGGGCCTAGTGACGATCATCATTACTAAAGTCTGTACGATAAAAAAAATATAGTCTCTATTATCCATTTATTTCATTTAATCATCAATGAGCGTTGTGCAGCAGATCGGATTATAATCCAGTAAATATCACAGGCTAGCGATGCCATCGAGAGTTGATTATGGTCTGGATAAGTTAATGTCTAATTAATAGTTTATATAAAGAAAGACCTGCAATTGGCAAAGTTCTTATTTCAACCAGATTTAATGGACAGTTTTTTTTTTTAAATTTAAGTTCAATGACTCGTTTATCTTTTCAGGAAATCTTCATGATCTAGTAATAAAACATCCAGTACCAGGTACAAGTCATGACAACCATTCTAAGAAAAATATCACCGAAAAAGATCTTCAGTCTAAGTCAGACCGACATCTTAATATACAGGTAGGTTGATATGTCTTGAACAGGTAAAAGTGAAAGCAATGAAATGAAATGGTGTTTAACGTCCTGTTCCGCGCCGACGGGGCTAATGAAGATGGGCATACGCCATACAGTGTGCTATGAGGGAAATCTTGCCCGGGCAGCAGCACTATCGCCTACTCTTATATCGAATTCCAACTGCCAAGGGATCTGTTACTTGCATGCCAATGTATACACGGGACCTTGGTTTCCCGTTCCATCCGATCGACTAGACAGCTGTCCTTGTCAAGCCGAAGTGAAAGCAGTAGCATAGTACCTTAGATGACCTTCCAAGCACAATATTGTATATTATTTAAAGATACATTATGGGAGATTAGATAAAGAGCTGACAGTTCTCGCTATGATAGTAACTAAAAATGGATAACATAAATAGACTATACTGAAAATTTCATTCAAATTACTCCACTCTTAATCGAAATATTAGCGATTGAATTTTAGGCCTAGCCTCGATCATCATCCTAAAGTCAGTACGATAAAAAGAAAATCTTGATTATCCAATTTGACATTAAATCATCCATCACAAAATGTATTCAAATCCAGTAAATATCACAGGCTAGCGATGGCATCAAGAGTTGATTATGGTTTGGATAAGGTAATAAATGTCTAATTAATAATTTAGATAACATATCAGGTATAAAGAAGAACCTTTAATAGGCAGATTTAGCTCTTTAGCTGATGTATGTTTAATAAAATTATTACCAGGCCATAAAGTAATGATTTTAGTTGCACATGACAAAATGTCAGGCATTAATGAACTGCATGTATTAAACTAGTATTAAACAAATTGTGTCTGACATTATCTGTGACCACTGCCTTATTTTCAGGTTTAATAATTACCTTTTCTCAATAATTATGGTGGAGTTGGATGTCCGAATGTCTGAATCAACTGGCATGGTTTTGATTCCACGAGTGTATGTCTATAATTAAGCTTACTTATATTTGATTTTAGTTGCTGAAGACAGATGAGGAATTGAAGAGTGTTGATAAAGAATTAAGAAGTTTAAAACAGTCTTTAGCTAGAAATCAACTTCGGTATGAATATGACTTTTAATTATTAGTGTAGATTGTTTACGAAGGTCTATTGAAGTTGATTCTCTGAATAAAATCGTCATTGCCACATATCAAAAGACAAGTATCAGATATTATGGAAATAATTCTGCTTGGATTTGAGGAAATGTTCATTTTTTTTAACCCTTAGCTGGTCACAGTCGACTAAAGTCAACCACAGCGAGATCCTTTTTTGCAAGCCACATTTGAGTATTTAGTTTCATATTTAATTGATATCGCCACACATGCGTGTCAGACAGGAACTTGTCTTGTCAAGGGCATTGAGAAAAATATGTCTTTGTTCAACATTTTTTGACAAAAAACGTAATTTAATGATGTCAGGAAGGTTAAAGACTCTTAAAAGTAATGGGGATCACGTGGGTAAGATGCTAGCTCGCTAGCCTGGAGGTCGGGTGTTCGATCCCTGCATTAGCCGAGAAAGTTCATCCAGATTTTCCGGCGTGGTTCTCCCTTGTCAGTGATGCAGGACGGAGGGGCTGACAAGGAAAGCTGTCTAGTCATTCGGATGGGACGAAAAACCGAGGTCCCGTGTACACATTGGCGTGCACGTAAAAGATCCCTTGGCAGTTGGAATTCGATATAAGAGTAGGCCGTAGTGCCGCTGTCCGGGCAAAAATTTCCCTCATGGCACACTGTATGGCGTATGCCCGTCTTCATGAGCCCAGGTTAGGAGCAGAACAGTAGGACGTTAAACTCCATTTCATTTCATTTCTTAAAAGTAGTTGAAATGCTTATGAATGATTCTGACTTGGATTATATCCATGACACCGATTCTGAAGATGGTATTTCTGATGAAAATGATTTAGAATGATTTGCAAATTATAGATCAATTTATTCCCATCAACTTTTTTTTGGTTTCAAGAGTCTATCACTTATAATTATCCGGCAGTAGTCGATTGAAATAGGCATACAAAATATTTCACTTTAGCCTTTATTAAGCCTGACCACTTGACGTCAAAATGACATTGACCTGTTAAGGGTTAATTGGCTTTTAATAATTGAACATATTAACACAAGGTACAATTTTATGGATACACATTTAGTATTAAACTCATTAATTGTGTATCTATAAAATTGTACCTTGTGTTAATATATTCATTTGTTAATACATGTAAAAAAGAATAGTCTTACACATGTACGACTGGTCTGTTGGTTTTATCTATGATTTACTCTTTCCTTAATTTGCGCATGGTTCTTTTAAAAAAGATGATTAGAAATGAAATAGGGTTTAACGTCCTACTGTTCTGCTCCTATACTGGGCTAATGAAGAGGGGCATACGCCATACAGTGTGCTATGAGGGAAATTTTGCCCATATATCGAATTCCAACTGCCAAGGGATCTTTTACGTGCATTCCAATGTTTTATACGGGACCTCGGTTTTTCATCTCATCCTAAGGACTAGACAGCTGTCCTTCTCAGGCCCTCCGTCCTGCATCACTGACAAGGGGAAACCACGTCGGAAAATCGGGATGAACTTTCTCGACCAATGCAGGGATCGAACACCCGACCTCCAGGCTAGCGAGCCAGTGCCTTACCCACCTAGCCACCGTGGCTCCCTTTTAAAAAAGAAAAGTGTTAGCTTATTCATCAATATTTTAAAAAGATCATGTGATTTATTTGTGAACTGTATATTAAAAAAACTTTTGAAACAGAGCTTACAATAACAACATCACAGTTGTTATAGAAATTTTTGAAATATGGTTATTTTAATCCTGGCAACATCAAAATTTAATCATTAATATGTCCAAAAAAAGCATCAACTAGTGATTTTCAGGTCCAGACAAGTTTTTATAGCAATGCCGAATAAATCTGCATTATTTTATAAACATTGATAGATCCAGTGTGTAATAGAAAATAATAATAAAAATAATAATATGAACATTTGTATAGCGTCAATTCCACACTTAAAAGTATGCTCTATGCGCTTTCTACACACAATTTTAAGAAATAGGTATGTTTTAAGTCTGGATTTGAAACACTCAATGGAAGGAGCACTTTTAATGAACACTGGAAGATCGTTACATTTTGATGGAGCAAGAAAACTAAAAGCTCCTGCCCCAAATGTTTTTATTGATCTTTGTTTGATCCTTCAGTGGTGTTTTTGTACTAAACTTTAAGTGAAATTGGATTTGATCTGTAACAAAGAAATAGTTCATTTCCTGTAAAAAAAAAATAATCTTTTATTCCAGAGACAAGGCTGCTGCTAAAAGAATTGAAGCCAAGATTGCCTCCCTTGTGGAATATCAACATAATTTGAGGACTTCAGAACAGACGATGTCACAACATAAACAGAGACGTAAAGATCATAAGAAATTAACTATTTTTTGAATTATTTACTGTCTTTCCTTTAAATTATTTTCTGGTCAGTATTTTAACGGGTTCCACATATTGTCAGAGACCCAGGCAATTATAATCAAGGGACCTATACAATATCAAAAGTACTTGTATTTGCAGGATCCATTTAATATGTTACATTATAAAGCGAAAACTCAATGCTGGGCATTGACTGGTCGGGGGAATCTTTAGTAAACTTTGTAGCACTGTTTTAGTCATATTTACCATTCTTTACTGACTGGAGGGGAGGGGGGGGCGGAGTAGGCAAGGAGTAGGGTCACCTGTCCAACCTCGTGAGTTTTCTCCAGGTCCTCGGTTTCCTCCCACTCCTGAAGACCCCTATGCACAAGCAAATTATTGAAATAAAATTGAACCATATGTTAGTCCCAAAATGACCTGGTTTGTGTCAAGTTGACCTGAAATCTCTCTGAAATATTGTCAAAAATTGACCGACTGGAAGCCCTGGGCCGTTATTCACAAAAACTTAAACTAAGATATAATCGAAATTTTAAGAAATACTGCAATTCGATTGGCTGACCATAAAAATCAATTTGCATATTGGTCAGCCAATCGAATTGCAGGGCCCTTATTTCAAGAATAAGGGCCCTGTTCTATGGTAGATATGAAATCTCATAAAAATGGTGCCAATTACATTGATGGTGATACACAAATAATTCAGTCAGAATGGTTCCTTATTTTAAAATCCTACTTCGGAAAGCAATTTTATAATCATTGGGTTACCGGTTACAATGATCAATGTAAGTACCTGTCTTTACATTATTCAATCTGATTAAAACACAGATCCTATTTCGTTTTGTTTTTTTGTTATAGTTCAAAATTTCATTAAACTTATCTTTACTACACTGGGATCTGGAAGATTTGTTATATTACAGCGTTCTGGTTGAAGTGAGGGATTAGCCAATGAAACAGCCTGTTACGGTGAGTTCTTGGTGTGCGATGCATGAAAATGTAGGTAAACTACTAGAAATGTCAACGCTGATTGATTAATCAATGTCAGAGGGTCAAAAGTCACTTGTATGACCCCCGACGCGATCTTCTACTACAGCTGGTCAGATCTTCATGAAGTAGAGGTCATTGAAAGTATTAGGGGATCACGTGGCTAAGTGGGTAAGACGCTAGCTCGCTAGCCTGGAGGTCGGGTGTTCGATCCCTGCATTGGCCGAGAAAGTTCATCCAGATTTTCCGGCGTGGTTCTCCCTTGTCAGTGATGCAGGACGGAGGGGCTGACAAGGAAAGCTGTCTAGTCGTTCGGATGGGACGAAAAACCGAGGTCCCATGTACACATTGGCGTGCACGTAAAAGATCCCTTGGCAGTTGGAATTCGTTATAAGAGTAGGCCGTAGTGCCGCTGTCCGGGCAAAATTTCCCTCATAGCACACTGTATGGTGTATGCCCGTCTTCATTAGCCCAGGTTAGGAGCAGAACAGTAGGACGTTAAACCCCATTTCATTTCATTTCATTTCATTTCGAAAGTATTAAAAAACAAAACAAAATATAGATCTATATTTTAATCAGGTTGCAGCTTTATATTACCGGTACTAAAACATGTACTTGACTGGTGAACTAATTCTATTAGTAAGTGCAGGGGGACTGCACCACACATAATTTACGCAAAAACAAATGTACGGACAAGACATATTATGCAGAAATCGCAAACAAATGCACAATTCAAATAAAGTGAATGGATCAGGGGGTTAGCCGTAAGCCGGGCCTGTAGTGACACAGACTTCACTCAAATTTGAAAACAAATAGGAATAAAACCCAGAGAAAGCATTGTGCAATGCCAGCATGAGTCATGATCTGCTATATGTTACAAGAAATATGAATGTAAGCATAATGTAGTAAAATTTAACCACATCGGTGAAATGTATAAAAAAAAACCAGGTAGTTTAAAACTAAAAGTCAACTAATTCTACAAATTACTGAAGGTTTCAGGTAATTATAATAATATAAAAATTCATTCATTGGGGGAAAAAAAAGTACATTTTTCCAATACTCTATACTTCAATTCACATGCTCCCGGGCAAATTCCAGCCGTTTCCTCTTCATAGCCAGAGTCCGACGTGGCTTATGTGCAAGTTTTTGGCGCTTTTAGATCGAAAAAGTCCATCAGTCGTCTGCTGATCATTCTTCTGCTCACCTCTGTAACAGAGAAGAGTGGGCAGGGGCAGATAACTCCCGTCTCACGTGACTTATATTACAATAATGATCATCCAGTAAAGGATCAATACGACAGTTGCAATTGGCAATAACAGTAATAACACCAATCATTTGTAGTACTATGGGTTGTTTGTCAGACATGGAGAGTGGACCCATGTTAAAAAAAACGGTTGCCAAACCCTTCATATGACCCATGCAGTCTTTTCTTGCTACATATCTTAGTAGTAGCCTTGTGATAGTCCAGTATTTGTTATTGACTTCTTTGCTTTCTTTTCACGTTGTGTATTTTCTTCTTCGTATCTAAGTAGTTAAGACGTTTATTTTATTAGTTTAGACATTTGTCTTCCAGGTACAACAATGCAACAGTTCGTTTTAACATTTTATATCAAGCTCTGGATACATAGGTTACAAGCATAGATTACAATAAAGTCATCCTCTCAATCACAAACATCGGAATCTGCAAGTTTCTGGATGTGGTGTTCCCTTTAAATGCTTTAAAAACTTACTTAATTCACTTTCCAAACAATTTTTTTTATAAATTGTCGACATGTATCTTACGGTATCATTGTCCACATGTATCTTATGGTATCATTGTCCACATGTATCTTATGGTATCATTATTCACATGTATCTTATGCATGGGTTCCACGTCGGCCATATATGCCGGTCGAGACCTACGGCTATGGAAAATGACCGTTCCTAGATCTGACCTAACGGTCATTTTGCAAGCCGGAAAGAGGGTCTTTTTTAAAAAAAAAAAAAATTTTCAAACATGACTACGATCGACCTTCACTGTGTAACTATACAAGAATGCACGTCGTCTAGAAGCCAATCTCGTGATTGGTGTTATAGAGTTGTAATCAACAGATTATACTGAGTGTTGTGTTGATAATAATGATGAGTGTCTGGCAATAGAGCAATAAATGTTAATTGATAAGTGGGAATCTAATCAACGGCGTGAAGCGGCCCATTGTTAATCATTCACGTATTGTCCACGTGTCATAAGAATTTTCAACAACAAAGCCGTTTACCGCTATTACGGTCAGGCACAATGTAAACGAGGTTATTATGATCTTCGAAAAAGGGCAATTGATATGAAGTATTGCTCTTCGAATCCAACCAACTGTCATATCAAATAAAAACAGCATAGAAATTACGTAAATCGTCAACTACGTACGTGTTGGAAGAAAAATGCATTTAAAAATAAAATGTTTATAGCGGTATTACGGCCTTGTGGAAATTGTTGAAATAAAATCTAGAGATTAGTTAACTTGCTTACCGAACAATTACGAAAAATACGTATTCCAGTGTACAAGAAATGTCGTGTATATACGGTTACTCTTATACACGACCATATTCTAGGGGGCGCTAGTGGCGCTAGCCGTGAAGTTAGTTATCCGTTAGTCATTTAGTTATACATTATTAGGATTTACGTCACAATTCTGCGGCCCGTAATTCCGTAAGAGATGGTCTAAAACCAAAAAAAATGTGAGATATATGCCATGGATAATTATATATTTATCTTCATTTCAAAGTTATTGTATTACAACTCAAAATTATCCAGGTCAGAGTGTTTTCTATAGAGCACGTGTTAATTACGTGTGAGCTACTGAAATGGTTTTTCTCCGGCCAATTCAACTATTTCGTTATTTAAGTAGCCAAAACGGAATATTTAATTATTAATTAAATATCATGAGCCTTACTAATATTTTATTTTTAAGTCAAATATATTTTTTTTGTGCACCCCATGGTGACAAAGTAGTATAGACACATGAATTCACAATACCCTACCATGAATAAAAAACATGAAATATAAATTTACTTTGAAAAGTTTTCGTGCGTTATCAAAAATGACCGGCAGTGAAAATTTTGAAGTGGAAGCCCTGATCTTATGGTATCATTGTCCACATGTATCTTATGGTATCATTGTCCACATGTATCTTATGGTATCATGGTATCATTATCCAATCTGTATACTATAATCTGATAATCTTGAAATGATTCTAGTCTGGAATTGGTAATTCTCCACTTGCCTATGATAAACCGGTTCATTCCCTAATATAAATGTATCATTATGATATCATTATCTAGACTGTACACCATATATTATTATGAGACACTTAATCTTTAAATGATTCTAGTCCTAGATTTGGTAATCCTCCATCTGCTTGTGATCAACAGGTTCATTCCCTAATATAAATGTATCATTATGATATCATTATCCAGACTGTACACCATATATTATTATGAGACACTTAATCTTTAAATGATTCTAGTCCTAGATTTGGTAATCCTCCACCTGCCTGTGATCAACAGGTTCGTTTCCTAATATAAATGTATCATTATGATATCATTATCCAGACTGTGCACCATATATTATTATGAGACACTTAATCTTTAAATGATTCTAGTCCTAGATTTGGTAATCCTCCACTTGCCTGTGATCAACAGGTTCATTTCCTAATATAAATGTATCTTTATGATATCATTATCCAGACTGTGCACCATATATTATTATGAGACACTTAATCTTTAAGTGATTCTAGTCCTAGAATTTGTAATCCTCCATCAGCCTGTGATCAACAGGTCACTTCCCAAATATAAATGTACCTTATTATGGTATCATTATCTATCTGTTATATTGTAGTCTGTTAATCCTAATATAAACTTTTCAAAACCGTGTTGAAATGAAGACTTTCTGCTCACTTGTCTCTTATCCATTTTTATACGCCCACATTTTCATGTGGACGTATTATGCCGTCGCCCCTGTCAGTCCGTCCACAATTTGTGGACACTCTACAGGTTACAATTCTTATCCGATTTCAACAAAATTTGAAATATAGGTGTATCTCAAAAAGATCTCGACTGCTTTCGATTTTGGCATGTATCGGATCAAAACTTCATGGATTATGGCCCCTGTTTGTACGAAAAATCACGTTTTTTGGCTTGTGGACCCTATACAGGTCACAATTTTTATCCGATTTTGTTGAATCTTGAAATGTAAGTTTATAACCTAAAGATCTCGGTTCTTTTCGATATTCGCGCATATTGGACCGTAACTTCCTGAATTATGGCCCCTGATTGTACGAAAAATCGCGTTTTTAGGGTGTGGACCCTATAGAGGTCATAATTTTTATCCGATTTAAAAAAAACTATTATTATATCACCGTTACACCATAAGGACGACTGAGTTCGAATTTCGTGAAAACTGACAGATAAAATGGCCGCCGTTCGTTCTCAAATAACGTAAAAATATGGTATATCAAGGTTGTGGACCCTATAGAGGTCACAATTTTTATCCGA